TTATAAAATTTAGTTTACTATTTATATTTATGAATTTTACAGGAGATTTATAGTAGTGAGTGGGAATAGTTATGTGATTTATTAATTAAATAGCATCAGTTAATAAAATTTAATCATGACGTTTTAATGATTCCTTAAATAATTATAAAATATAGGTTTACGACACTCATTTACATATTAAATACCGAAAAATTACAGTTATTGTAATTTCAGGAAATTCATTAAATTTGTTTTTTATTTCAATTGTTTCTTTATAGTTTTCACTTATTTAAAAATGATATATTGAACGGACTTGTGACATGAATACAATTATTTAAACTTCATTGCAATCACAAACTGTTTAAAAAGAATGTTTCAAATTTGCATATTTCTGTTTGAAAAAGACTTTCTTCCAATCGGATTGGAAAGAAGCCTATTTCTTGTAGGGCTATTTCTTTTTTCCGTGGTTATTGTGCTTCGCTGTTAGAAATTTCTCAGAATAAATGGTTAAATAACAATTTATTCAAATGTCGTTTTACCACATTCAAACACAGCAGTCAAATAATCATAAATGAGATAGTAATCAAACTTTTAAGAGAAAAACCATTTATTAACTGTTTCCACTTAAACACGATTAAACAAGAATTTTGTCACAACAATTAAGCCCACCTAAAGAAGGCATTTAGTTCCTTGCAACTAACTGTTTACATGCTAAAGCCGAGATCTTGCAAGTCTCATGAACCACAGAACTACTGTTCGAGCCCCAGCGTTTGCATTACAAATTTGCTTCATTTTCGCATGAAGAGTTTCCTGAACTCCTCAATTTGTGTCTTGAACTCTCTGTTGCCCATTACCTAACAAAAAACCTATCTCTTATGTCCAGTTAAACTTTTTTTTTACGGTTTTGAAACTATGCTAGCTGTAAAATGGTTAAATAACCGTACAGTTCATGGTTTTTTAACCATATTAGTAAACGGTTTCAAACCCATAAAGGTAAAAAATGTTCTTTACCATAAACTTTACGGTTAATCAGATGGACAGACTGCTGCCAGTTATTTTACCATAATTTAAAAATGAAAATTGTAACAGTGTTGAGATCCCTGATTCATACTAACATCTTGCTGGTTGCGCAAAATCTGAACTAAATTATAGTTTAGTTTTGAACTAATTTTCTTGGTATTCTGGGTGCATTTATTTGCTTAGACCAAATCATTATTATTTGTTTATTTATTATTATTTATTAATTTTTATTCATTATTATTGTTATTGATTCATTATTATTATTTTCAATCAAACACTTGTGCATGTTTATGTCAAATCATTCGCATAAGTATTAGGATAACAAAATTTCTGTTCTAAATTAGAATTATTTTCAAAAATTACATAAAACAGTTTTCATTAATATGAAAACAAAGGAACTCCGAGACACTTGTCATTATTGTAAACTTAAATCTCACATCTTAAGCTGGGGTGCATGATAAAAAGAGTTCAATTTGAAATGTGGATAAATTTAACTGAAATATTTGTATCATATTATAGTTCGAAGTGTCGAAAGGTTCAAAATTCAGCCCACTTTTCTATGAGTTTAGGTTTTTCTTATTCTGATTCTAAAAACCGGAAAAAGATTAGTATTTATAAGTTTTTTGTTAGTTTGAAGTTATTTGTACAACAACTAATTGTGGGTATAATTGTTTGAAGTTATTTGCACGATAAGGAATTGTGGCTATAATTTTTTGAAGTTATTTGCAAAATAAGTAATTGCGGCTATAATTGTTTGAAGTTATTTGCACAATAAGTAATTGTGGCTATAATTGTTTGAAGTTATTTTCACAATAAGTAATTGTGGCTATAATTGTCTGTTAATGTGAACACATTAACTCTGACCAAAGAGAAATTTTAACGATTGAAATTTCAAAAATGTTATAAAAGGCAGTATATACTAATAGTTTATATTCAATTCGAATTAATCAAGTGACCTGTACACTGAATTTTAATTTCAATGGATATCGCTTTAAATATGCATGACGTCATTTGTATCGAAATTCAAAAACACTCAAAATTCACAAAACATTACACAAAATTCACAAAAATATTCAGGCATTTTTTTTTTTTCATTGAGAGTTTTAAAGAGAATGAACAATAAGTAAATTAATTTATACAAAAGTTCGATATTATTAGTACAAAGTCTGTAATTACTTTACTGGATGTGTGTTCGCTAATAACTCGGGAACAGAATCGCCGATTTGAATCGTGTTTTTCTCAGTAGTGGCTTGCAAACTTTCAAGGAGTCGTTTGTAAGCAATATCTTCTTTCTGGCGTTATCTGATTCGCGCTCAATATTAAAAAATAAAATTTTCATTGATGAAAATCATCGTTATAGATTAAAACGTGCGTTGTCATAGAAACAGCTTTTTACAAAATGTTTAAAAAATAGAAGCAGACGAAACTTCTAGAAAATTCTTCATATCTTTCAAACTGAGTGAACTCGTAATTTATGTATAGAAGTAAAATTTACTAGAAACAAATACGTAGGCTAACATAAGTTATCGAATGTTTTCAAAAATAGTAGAATCGAATTATTTTCAGTTAATGTTAAACCTAAATACGCTTGTTATTGTTCGTCCAATCGGCATTTCCATTTCAAGCCTTTTAAAATACATTTAATTCATACACTTGAATATTTTAATACCAATTGTTAGTAATAATAATTAATTGTTCACGTCTTTTTTTTTTAACACAAATTTTAAATTCTCAAACTTTATATTACTCTTCTTTAAAAGAAAATTTCACAAACTTTATGAAAAAAATGAGTACTTATTGGTACCAAGAAAACGAGTTCGCCAACAAGTAGAACAACGCCATGTTCTTATTCACACATGTATCACTGGCTATAGATGATACACATAGCTACATCGAATATTGTGAATGTTATACAAAGCGACAATTATTAAAAACGATGTTATGGTAAATTTTGCTAAATTTTATTTTGAACACAAAAATCTTGGCGTCAATGTAAAATTAATATAAATTAGCTTAATTGGAAAAAAGGTCGCGATGTATTTTAGACAATACATCGCAGTATTAAAATTGGTATTCCTCAGTCACGCATGTTAATTTATTTATTTTTTTAATTTAATTTTTTTTTTATGGGTGACAATTCAAGAAATCAATCACCTTATAGTAGAATATGAGAGTTTATGAGGAGTTAGGGGCAGACAGCGGATAGGTGCGCCAAACGTACATAAATTGTATATTTGATTACAGACATCAGTTCAGTTTATATTTCAAGGTCTCGATATTAGGAAAAGATAAGTTTTTAATTGCAAATTCTTTCATATAGGCTTAAAAAATTTTTTTAAAAGAAAGAAAGTAAAGGAACAGAACGAAAAAAAAAACTGGCTGGCAAGTTTAAGTCCATTTTAAATACCAATTAAACTTGTTAAATAAATATAAAGACTGATTTTAACATAAATACTCTTTGACTTAGTTTTATATGCTGTCTTTTAGTTCTTGAACAGCGACATTGAGAAAAATTATTTTTTTAAAGTTTTATTTTTTGTTTTGAATCGCGCATTATTTTAACTTAAAAGAAATTTATAACAAAGTTCGTCTCGTTTTGGCGAGGGAAAACAACATACAAGTGAAACTCATTGGTACACATAATTATATAAATGCACAATCTGATTTTGACTAAGTTGCTATATATATATATATATATANTATATATATATATATTCCGAACATTACTGATTATTCGAAAACATATATAATTCTACAGTCAGTGATGCTATTATTTATTATTTTCGACTTCAAAAACTAATAATAGCGTTAAATAATTACTTACGCTGTTATATTTTCTCTATCTTATACAATAAATACAGTGAATGTTTATTTGATTTTTTTCTTCTTGATCTGAGAATGTTGCTTAGAATCTAAACATATAAAACCTAACTATTTGTTTACTTTCCTTTTGTTGTCAATTTATTAATAAAACTATTCATAACTACTCAATATTTCATTTTTATATGAACTTTTCTAGCGTAATTAAATAAGTGAACAAAGAAGTCTTTTTCTTCGCTTTAATCTTTTTCGAGGTCATTACAGGTTCTGTTTTTGTTCGCATTTGTCTGATAAAGTAATAACAATATTTTTATTATTATTAAAATTTTTGTGCTTTTTTTTAATCATAAATAATGAAATGTTACTTAATTTAAATAATTTATTATAACTTGGACGTGAAAGCAATTTAGAAATTCTAAAAATTCAATAGAAAATATTTTATTTACTAAAAATTAAAAATATGCTTTTTTGTAAACATAACTTAAAATCTAATTCTTCATTTATTATCTCTTTTTATTCAATTGAATTTTGAGAGAAAGCGAGCTCGTAACATTATGCCATTCAATAACTAAGCCCATGAAAATAAAAAAATTTAGTTTCTTTCATCTCTGTGATGTTAACGAAACCTTTTCGTAAACAAATGTTAACAACAAATACACGTAAACAAATGTGCACAAATGTCTGAAAGCATCTGTGCAAAATAAATAAATAAAATGATACATTTAACATTATGCTATTCAACAACTAAGCCCATAAAAATAAACAAAATTTCAGTTTCTGTCATCCCTGCGATGTTAACGAAACTTTTTCGTAAACAAATATTAATAACAAATACACCGAAACAAATGTCTGAAAGCATTTATGCAAAATAAATAAATAAAATGATACTTTTAACACCATGCTATTCAATAACTAAGCTCATAAAAATTAAAAATTTCAGCTTCTGCCATCTCTATGATGTTACTGAAACTTTTTCGTAAACAAATGTTAACAACAAATACACGTAAACAAATGTCTGAAAGCATTTGAGCAAAATAAATAAATAAAATTATGTCTTTAACACTATGCTATTCAATCACTGAGCCCATAACAATACATTTCTGTTACTGTCATCGCAGTGATGTTAACTATACTTTTTCGTAAACAAATGTTATTGATTCTAGCCAAAAAATGGTACTTACCTTTTTTACCATGACCATGAGAATCACCCGGAACGCCGGACCCACCACTAGAACCGGCTTGGAGTCCATTTGCAGCGGCCGTCAGACCGGCCGGTGTCATGCTTAGGATACCGTCAATAGAATAGGGCACACCGCCGGCCATGGCTGCCGCAGCGGCCGCCGCCTGCCCATAGTCAAAAGCTGCGGCATGGTGATGGTGGGCCGCTGCATGGTGAGCAGCAGCGAGTGGCATACTATAGGGGGCAATTGGCGACCCGAAATGCATATAAGGCGACGGCAGGAATCGCCCGAGTCTTGCCAATACATGGCTGTGTGTATGTCCAAAAGCAGGCTCTAAAAGTCTAGCATCCATGGTACAAAAAGTATTCGTTCGTATACTCAGTTGAAATGAAACACAATCATCGTAGAAAATATTGTTTGAGGACAAAAATATTTGTTTACAAGCAGGGATTGTTTTGACAGTCTGACAGAATTGTTTTGACCGACAGATTTAGGAAGCTAAAGAAAGCCCTTGCACTCGTCCACTCATCTTTGATACGCCTCGTTTACGGATGTAAGCGGCCGCATCAGCCACTTTTCGACGCTCCTCTTCCATTCCCTCCCAGTCGGTTACGTCATCGAAAAAGTACGGAGGCGGGGCTTATTTTGGAATTACCTATTTAGCGTTAGACCAATAAGGAAATGTGTAGGCGTGTCTTAGTAGAGTGATGGATAGATTGGTAGAGAATGTAGTGGTTGACAGGCGTTGACGATCTTCGGCTCCAACAATCACTTAACGGTGTTGCAGGACGTCTTTATCATGGTTTTAGGCAAAAGAAATAGATTTGTTGCATTCCTCGTCTTTCTCTCTCTTTTTTTTTTTTTAATTTGTTCCAAGCTTTTTATTTTTATCGGTGAACATTTTTATTAAGAAGGAATGCCAAAAATGAAACTATGCAATCACGCAGATCTTAATCAGTGAAAGTAGGATGTGAAATAAAGAAAATTAGTTACACGATTATTAAATGGAATTCAATAAACATTTTTTCTGTCAATATCGAAATGGCGTGTTCCAAAAAGTATTTCTTGGTACCCTTTAGAAATCTAATGAATTAATAGAATAATGTTTTAAAGACATAATTCACTTTATTCTCGGAAAGAAAAGTTTAACAAATTAGAGTGTAACGTGTACAGGGTGCGTAGCGGTTTTAAAAAATGCTTATAAGGGCTTAATTTCGATTTTCGTTTTTTAAAATCTCTTAAAGGTGCTTCTTTCATTGGGTGCTTTTAAAAAAGTGCTTACTTTTCCCTTTTCAAAAATGAGATTTTTTCTTTACCATGTCGATTTTCGCCACGTATTATGCAAAAGCGTGGTTTTCATATTGTTCTATTCAACGTTTTCACAAATCATTCAACCACAATGCATTTCGGCTTACGTAGTGTATGAAAGCGCCAATCATTTTACATGTTTGATGAAATACTTGCGGATCCACAAGAGCATATACTATGCTGGATTCAACAGGAATTATTCTAGCACTCTCATGTGCAACTATGCTGCATTTTGCCAGAGATTCCCATTTTCAGGCTGCATTTTCCTCCCTCTGAAATCGAATCGAAAAATCTCTCTATCTTTTTATGGTGGCTAAAGTAATCAAGAAAGAGTTCTTTTTTTTGTTAGAAACTAGTTATTTTAACATGATCATGTAAAGTCTTTGAAAAATATTTTGCATTTTTTTCATGTATATAGTGCTTAAAAATATTTTTAAGTGCTTAAAAAGTACTTAAATGGTGCTTATTTTTTGTTGAAAGATTGGGCTACGCACCCTGGTGTGAAATAACAAAAACGAAAATTCGATTTTTTTTTCTTCTAAAAAGGTGTCATTTGCTCATAAAACTGAAATTCTGAAAATTTAAACTCTATAAAATAATGTTTAGACCTCGCCTCCGAGCGTCAAAGATGGAAAAAAAAAAACTCGATTTTACTCAGAAAATGGGACGTTATTTGTATAAAACTTCGAACGCGAGAAAAATTAATTAGTACTTAATTTATGAAAAATGCTGTTGGCTTGAACTTTTTTAACGTTTTTGTCAAAAGATAAAAGTTGTTTTGCTGAACCCCACCCGAAAAAAATTAATTAAAGAAACAGCGTGCAATCGGTAACTATTATAAAGTAAGAAACCATAAATAAAGATTTTTTAAGACAAGATAAACATAATACATCAAATTGAAATAACATTTTTATGAATGATTTTTATTTCAGATAATAGATACTAAACAAAGTACCGTAAACAAAGAAAAGCAAATATAGTAGGCATCAAAGCTATCAATTAATGAGAATACACATTCGATGTGTTTTACCTGTAATTATTTTAATATTTAATTTTTTTTTAATATATCCTCCTCGCTAAAAATAAGGCAAATGCATTAATTAAATTCATGTAATCCCATTCATCGATACTGCTTTTAATCTTGCTTCAGTATCATTCTGTTCTATCTGGACACTTAATTTTTTTTTCAATCTATTCCCCTTCATTACATTTAAATTAAGCTTTTTTTCAACAAAACACATAAACCTTCGTTTCAATTTCACCACCATAAGGGGCATTCAAGTGTTATGTAAGCATACGTAATATTTGATTTGTCAATTGTGATAAAATATATCATTTTGGACAAAAATATCCCCCCTTTGTCCGTAAAAATAAGCAATTCACAAACTCTCTGCCAAGATCATGGAAGAAAGAACCCTTTCATGATTTTTTTGTAACTTTGACCTTTAATGTTGTAAATAAATCAATGTTTACCTTTAATGCTGAAAATAAAACATGTAATTTTACAAAAACAAAACGTACGCTTTAAGCCGTTTAATAAAATTTTTAGTCGAACATTATTTAGGAATCTTTAATTAAGTTTAAAAAATATTCTTTATGAATTTTTTTGTGATTTCCTTCTGCGCTCAAAATTCTGGACCTCTGACCCTCCTTGAAGAACTTTATTCCCAACTTTTTCTTTCTCCAAAATCAACTTTGCATCTAAATTTGAAATTTTTTCAAGTGTAATAATTTTTTCGCTTTTTTTAAAAAATTCTAAAAATAAGCAAATCTTTTCTCAGTAAATAAATAAGCAAATTATGAACCTCCCTTTTATGCTTACGCAAAAAATTCACAATACCCCGTTTTTTGTTTGTTCTTCACCTTTTATTGTAGTAATCTACTTTTGAAATTGAATTCAAAAAAAAAAAGATGCAACTTTTCACAAAATACCGTTTCACTAAAATAACGTTTTCAAACCTTTAGTAAAACTTTATGTGGAATATATTTTAAGAATATTTTATGTTTTCTCTAAGTAGCTGAAACTCCTGACCTCTGAAACTTTTCGCAAAAATTTTTGTGATCTATTGTTCCCCACGAATTTAATTTCAAATCTAAAAATTTTGCAATTGTAGTTTTTTTATTAATTTTTTTTTTTTGCATTTTATATAAATTTTGTAACAAAAAAAGGAGTATTTTATTGTCTTATTAAACATAGCTCATTACTCCCCCCATAAATATTTATCTGTAACACAAGAATACAGAAATGCAATTACAAAAGTGAAATTTGTCGCCTCGAAAGGTTAATTAACGAAATAAAAAAAAAATTCAATAATTTCATCGAGAATATTGCAATTACAAAAGTGAAATTTTTCGTGTCGTAAGGTCAATTAACGAAATAATAAAAAAAAAGACATTCAATAATTTCATCGAGAATATTTAACTGTAACACAAGACTACAGAAATGCAATTACAAAAGTGAAATTTGTCGTCTCGAAAGGTTAATTTTAATTTATGAACTCAACACGAGTTTTTATGAAATCTCAATTTGTTCGCAAAAAGTTATTGCAAATTTAACCCACGAATTTTTTCAAAGATTTTATTTCATTTATGTAATTTAAAAAATCTAAAGACTGTGATTATTGTAAGTAATAAAAAACAATTTAACATTTAATAATTAGTTCAAGAATGTTAAAATTGTCGCTAGTTTTTTCTTCTTCTTTTAAGCTAGAAATGTTTTTTTTTTTTTTTTTTTTTTTTTTTTTTAAATTGTTGATTAAACCAAATTCTCTTAAGGTAGTTATTTATTTATATACCTCTTTTTTAACACTAGAAAGACCGAAACTTAGTATATACCTATATTGCCCAAAAGCAGTCATTGGATTGTGAAAGAATAATGTGTAACGAAATTTGTTTAATTAATTTTTAATATTTTTTACAGTTATATAACAAGTTATTAGTAAATATTAACAATAAAGAAATTTACTTCACTTGGAAAGAAAATATTAATTTATGCATTATTTGCAAGTTATTTGCAAATGAAAAGGCAGTTAAAAAACAGTCAAAATGACTTCCTTTAGGCAACCTAGTGTTAAACAGAACAATTTATGATTTATATATACAATATTCAAATAGATTATCTAAGCTATGAAATTAAGCTCAGAATTGTGCGTCGTATTAGTTAATATTGCAATTTTTTTTAAATGTTGACATTTTTCACGAATTACTCACCAGTTTATGCCGGCACTCAATATGCTCTAATAATAAATATTAAAAAAATAAAATTAAAAAAAGCTAAAGAAAAAAAAAACAATTTTTTAAAAATATCATTGTTTCTTCCTTACACCTGCAAATCTCAACATTCAGTATAAAGTTAGTTCATAATATCCAATGATTTTATAGAAATGCAAATGTATTTTTGTAGTGCGCTAACGAAAAGAAAACATCTTAATAACTTTTTATTTAATGATAGGATTTTTACGTACTAAAATTTTATATTAATGATACAAGGGATTGACCTTAAGTATGTTAATTAATTTGTTCAGATTGTTTTGTCTGATCTTGTAACTTAAAATATCAACAGCAAAAGTTTAGCATATTTAAGTTAATCTATATTAACAAAATTAAGCCATTTAGTTAATTATTCAGTTATTAGATTACTCTATATTAGCAGCATATTTAAGTTTAATCTCTTATATCTTTACGATCTTACAATCCAATTATTAGATCAAAAGTTAGCTCTCTTTTTTAGTTTGTACACACTCTAAATCAACTGTTATAAAGACGTGCAATTTGTTTGTATAGCTTGCTATTAAAACGAAACCATCAGCTTTTTGTTGTGATAGTCTGTAATAAGAGGGAAGTAAAACATCTTAACAACAATTATGATTTAAATGTTATTCTGTTTGTCAAAAACTTGTTTTTTTTTTCTTCTTCCTCCCTGTCTGATAAATAATAGCGATGTCAATTATCCGTATTCTTTCTTTGAAACGTGTGTAAACAAATCTAAAAGAATTACTAACTTCATTGCCAAACATTGGCGAATAGTCGCTCGTTCGGCGAGGAATTTATTTTTAAATAAAAAAAAACCTAGTTAACATCCTATTTTTTTTTTTTTTTAAATTTTATATCCGTCGTTGAACCAAGGAATATATTCATGGAATTAGCATAGAAAGTAAAACTGTTCATGCTATAAACCTGAACCTTCCCCACCTTTATCCAAGATTTATTTCTATTTTATAAGCGTCGTTGAACAGCCGACCCAATTTTTTGAGTTTACGACTGCAAATGTTCAACTCCATAGCCTTGTC